CTTCTTCTTCTGAACTGCTTCCTGGAACTCGGATATTCTCCTCTATTGGAAAGTATTTTCATTTATTTGTACCTACGAAAACCCCCGTGTATGGCCTACCTCGCCTCTCCTGCTCTACTCAGGACAATATAGGCTAACCTCGTACTAGTCGAAGTGATAACCCCACCCATAGTGCTCTTAATTGAAGTTATTGTTTGGTATTGAGTGTGAAGATTGGGAAATAACTCATTGGGAGCGAGTGTTCTGAATGTCAATAGAGGTTGTTTACGTCAAGCCTGCATCTGATTTTATCTCCTTCCAGCTGCAAGTGAATACGAGCGTTGTCGGCATGTCGATGTGCGATGATCGACAATAAGGAGGTTTCCCAAATCAAAATTCAGAGAGACAGAAATAGGTGGACAAACCTTTCTGCATCAGAAAGGCCTACAAACGTCTCATCCGGTCGTATCAGCAATTGCGCTACCAAACCCCAGTGTCAGCCGTTGTTTTTGCCTCGGGTGCGCAAACCGTGCGTGTTTCTTAGCTTTGTCTGTATGCAGCCACCCGAAAAGGGGAGTTGGGCGACTGGTGTCAAGCAGTTGCCATGCCTACACCAAATAATAAGCAATCAGAAGAAGGAGATGCGAACACTGGAACAAGAGTTTTATTTTCTTGACACCGAGAATCCTTAATCATAGGTAATCGTAGGATAGTATGCGACATGCACAGATTGGGGTGATACGTGCACAGACTGCGCGGTACTTAGAGTTCGCGTTGGCCACCCGCATGCGTACTATAATTTGCAGCCCCTGTCACCACCGCTTGGAGTCGAAATTAGTGCGGTGATGGCTTGGCAGTTCGCTTTCGAGTTATTAATTGCCGCGAGTTCCTTGTCCGTGTCGGATGCGGGCTTGATAATTGCGCGACAATTATGCCCGCTGTCGCAGAGTTGTTGCCGCACCCGGCCCTTCCCACGTGACTGATTCCCCTGCTGAAGCAATGTCTCAGTACGCAGTATGGGA